CGCAATGATTGATGAGGAAATGAGCTTCAAAGCCAAAGAGCTTGTCAGACCACCAACAACAAAACCTGCACTATCTCTGAACTCTCACATGCATCTCTTCCTCCTCTGTGTTCTTTTCCTATCTGCCTTCTTTCTTACAGTTTCAGAAGCTTTCTGTAACCCGCAAGATCGAGAATCTCCCATGTGGTTCTCTGGCAACGTCTCTTCTTCTGTTTCTCCTCTAAATTGGAATTCATCCATTGATTGTTGCTCCTGGGAGGGAATAACCTGCGATGATTCATCAGAGAGTCACGTCACTGCGATTTCCTTGCCCTCTAGAGAACTCTCAGGCCATCTCCGTTCATCTGTTCAGACCCTTCACCATCTCTCTCGTCTCGATCTTTCTTATAACAGTATCTCGGGTCCTCTCCCACCAGGTTTATTCTCGGCCCTTGATCAGCTCATGGTTGTTAACCTTAGTTTCAATAGCTTCAATGGTGAGTTGCCACTTGAACAAGCATTTGGTGATGGAAGTAACAGATTCTTCCCAATCCATACGATTGATCTGTCGAGCAATCTTCTCCAAGGCGAAATCCTCAGTGATTCTACTTTTATCCAGAGAGCTATCAATTTAATCAGTTTCAATGTTAGCAACAACAGTTTTACCGGACCTATCCCTTCCTTTATGTGGACGAGTTCACCGCAGCTCAGCAAACTGGATTTCTCCTATAATGATTTTACCGGGGAGATCCCCCAAGGATTAGGCAGATGTTTGAGGCTAACTGTTCTACGAGCAGGCTTCAACAATCTCTCCGGTGAAATCCCAGTTGAATCTGCGGGTTAATCGGCTGGGAGGAACCTTATCAGAGGTCAACTTTTCCCGGTTTCAGAGCCTTAGCATTCTGGATCTCGGAAACAATAGCTTCACCGGTAATTTCCCTGATACGGTTTTCTCCTGCAAATCTCTCACGGCGATCAGGTTTGCAGGCAACAAGTTAACGAGACAGATATCTCCTCAAGTAAGGGAACTTGAGGCCCTATCGTACCTGTCTTTTTCAGACAATAAACTAACGAACATTACAGGCGCTCTCAGCATTCTTCAGGGCTGCAGGAAGCTGTCCACTCTCGTCATGGCAAAGAATTTGTACGACGAAACAGTTTCAAGCAATGAAGACTTTCTTGCCCCAGATGGAATCCCTAACCTCCAAATATTTGGCATTGGTGGATCTCGATTGAAAGGTGAAATACCAGCTTGGCTAACCAAACTAAAGAGCTCAGAAGCCATAGAGCTATCCCTCAACCGATTCGAAAGGGTCAATTCCTGGTTGGTTGGGAACTCTTCCCCATCTTTTCTACATCGATCTCTCAGATAATCTTCTTTCAGGAGAGCTGCCAAAGGAATTCTTTCAGCTGAGGGCTCTGATGTCTCAAAAGGCCTATGACGCAACAGAAAAGAACTATCTAGAGCTGCCTATTTTTCTCAATCCCAATAATGTAACCATCAACCAGCAGTACATTCAGCTGTCCGGAAGTATACCGGTCGATGTTGGCCAGTTGAAGGTTCTTCATGTCCTTGAGCTTCTTGGCAACAACTTGTCTGGCAGCATCCCAGATGAAGTGTCAAACCTCACCAATTTAGAGAGGCTTGATCTGTCCGACAATAGTTTATCTGGCGAAATCCCTTGGTCGCTAACAAGCCTCCTATTTCAACGTGGCGAACAACAGTCTCGAAGGGCCAATACCCACAGGAGGCCAGTTTGATACTTTTTTAAAAAGCATATTTTGAAGGAAACCCCTTGTTGTGCGGAGGTGTACTACTGACTTCCTGCACGGCTCCAACAACAACCACAGATAAAGACACAATTTCTTATGGGGGTCAGCAGTGGATATTTTTCTACCTTGACGTTTTATTGCGCAATGACCCAATACTTTTTGATTTCTAAACAAATAACAATGATACAGTGTGATGGTCTAGGTTTGGTTATGCTCTCAGTAGTGTATATAAAATGTTATGTGCAGACATAAATGGAGATCATTGAGGTTATATCTGAGTCTGAGGTAGATCTTGAGGAAAGAAGCCAAAATCACATCAATCTTTAACGAGAATTCCGACCGAAATCAAAGAAAAAGATCCACGTATTCCACTATAATCAGATAACAATTTTTCGCTGGAGAACAACAAAATTTGGGGTTTTCACCGCTCAGGAATGGTATTCCCTGAGAAAGAAGACAACTTAGCTCAATTTCATATGACCTKAATTTATTTATCTTTCCCAAACAACTCTTAGATTAATGTCCGATTAACAAACATTACCGGGAAAAAAACATCGATGGCTTACAACATTACAGGTAAAAGAAGAAAAAAACCAGAAAAATAAATAATTAAAAAAATCCGGACTTGCCGGAAAAAGCTAAGAACAGACGCCGTGAGCTTCCTCTCCGAGGGAACATTGATTTAGGGAAAACAGGCCCAAAGGCCCACAAGAGACGATTCAGAGATCGACGAAAAATATTTATTTTAACATAAATTTTTAATCTTGTGCTTAGTAATCGTCGTGATCTATGTAGGATCGGAAGAGCATTGTTGCGCAGAGACGAGCATGTTGTTGCTTCATCAACGAAGAACATTTCGAAGTGAAGCTGTTACCGGTTTTCAAGTTATCGCCAAAAATCCAGCCATGGTGGAATTGATTGATGAATCTATATATATGAATTTGAATCCTCAGAGACCAATTTAATAATATATTTTGGGATTTGAGGAAAGCTTGTGTGCGTGTATGTGCATGAACTTGGTCTTGTTTTCGTCTCGACAAAAGTTAGGGATTTTGCGCGTGAGGTAATCTCGCCGTACAAAAGATGGAGTCTCAAACACCTTTTCTTATACTTCTTTTATCCGATCGATACAGAAGATTTTGTTTGAGGTGAACAATCAACACTTGACTTCGGTTTCAAGTTTGTCTTTTTTCTTCTATTTTTCTGGAGAAGTAAAGTTTGTTCATGTTCAATGTATGTCAACGAGTTTATCAAAGCTAAGAAGTTTCTGCGAAGGTAACGTTTTATTGGCTTCCTCTAAGATCAAAATCTAAATCCGCATTGATTGTTACACAGGTGTTCTGCCTAAAATCGAACTAATCACATTTTATTTCAAGAAGAAGAAGAAAGATCTTTAGCTGCTACTATCTAGTTCCTGGGACTCTGTTTTGTTCATTTGCAAAATAGTTAAAAAAGATGCTTTACATGTTCTGAAATCGTTCTAAACAATGTCTTGGTTATGTAAATTAATGGCAGAGATCATTAGAGGCTCAAGTGAACTAGAGTCAACAATTCTTTCTTCATCTCTCTATACCGAACCAGACTGAACCGGATTATTTTGCTGACTTCAAGGTGATGCAACAAAGTCAATTTCTGCAGAAAACCAAGAAATGTTCATATGAGAATTTCAGAAAAAAAGTGAATGTATGTTGGAAATATCAGAGAATTGTGTGTGGGTGTGGATACAGTTGTTTCTAACCTTTGGAGGAGTTTTGATCTTCTAAAGGAGTTTCTGATGTAGTGGATGAGGAAGAGAGGCTAGTTGATTCCCGAGCTTCGATAATCATAGCGACAACTTCTCTCATAGTTGGTCTACTTGCTGGAGAATTGCTGGTGCAGAACAGTGCAATCTTTAGAACAAGAGACATCTCATGAACCGTTCTCTTATCATTCGTATCTAGCCTCGCATCAAACATTTCAATGGTTGGAACCATGTGACGGATTGATCTTCTAACCCAGTTGACTAGATCCCCTCCTTGCTCCAGCGGTTGAACCGGGGGCTTTCCTGTTATTAGCTCTAAAAGCACAACTCCAAAGCTATAGATATCGCATTTCTCAGTCACTTTCATAGTGTAAGCATATTCTGAAACACAGTAAAACACGAATCAGATATGTTGGATAAGCATGTGCAGGAGAAAGAAACATGTGATGTTTTTACTCACCTGGAGCGATGTATCCGTAAGAGCCAGCAACAGCTGACATGGACTTTGAGTAAGAGAGATCAATCAACTTAGCCAGGCCAAAATCTCCAACATGAGCCTGGAACAGTTCATCAAGAAGAATGTTGTTTGATTTTATGTCGCGGTGAACTATTTGAGGTCTGCAATCATGATGGAGGTAACACAGACCCTCTGCAGCACCGAGTGCGATTCTATATCGAGCATTCCAATCCAACAAGCAGGTTTTCTCGCCTCGTTGAAGCTGTTCGCCAAGACTTCCCTTTGACATGTACTCATACAAGAGAAGATTTGAGTTCTGGTGATAGCAGAAACCATATAGCTTCACTATATTCCGGTGCCTTATCTTTCCAAGTGTTGATATCTCAGCTCTGAAGCTATTATCAGAACTAGCTCCTTCACCGCGAGAATTCAGCTTCTTCACTGCTATCACTTCACCATCTGACATTTCAGCTTTGTAGACCGTTCCACATGCTCCTCTCCCTAAAACCATGCCTTCAGAGAAGTTTCTGGTTGCATCCACAAGGCCTTGATATGTGAAACCTTCTTTAGGGAAATAGTAACTGTCCATGACATCCGGTTTTGTTTGATCCTCAAGAGCAACAAACGCTGGTTCACGTCGCTTTATAGCCCAACAGATACCAAGAAAAGCGAAAAGAGAAACAGAACCGATCACAATACAAGCTATTGTCAAGATATTTTGCCTCTGTGAACCGTTCATCAACCAATTTAGCTTTGAATCAGAATGTGGGACAAGTGGTTGGCAATGACTTCTCCGAGGGTTACACAAACCGTGGTTTCCAGCAAAGTTCGATGAATCCATCCGTTGGAAAACTGCTGTGTCTGGTACTATTCCTACCAAGTTGTTGTTTGAGATATTGCAGATTAGGAGGCTCATAAGATTCCCAATTGATGCAGGGATCTCACCTGAAAGCTTGTTGTCGTTGAGGTAAAGTATCTCCAACATTTGAAGATTTCCTAAACTGTCTGGAATCGTCCCCGAGAGACTATTGTGACTGATGTTGAGGGAGATTTGAAGAGATGTTAACTTACCGAGCTCCACGGGGATGTTTTCGGACAAGAGATTGCCTCCTAGTTGTAATTCCATAAGCCGAGTAAGATCTCCAAAACTATGAGGAATTTCTCCGGTCAATCTATTATCAGACAACCTCAAAATCTCTAAATTCACCAACTGGCCAAGCTCTTCTGCTATGTCCCCGGAAAACTTGTTTCCACTAAGGTCAAGCCTCTGGATAGTGACACAACTCCCTAACTCTCGAGGGATGTGACCAGTGAGCTGATTGGAGGAAATGTTTAAGCCAACAATCTTTGTGAGATTCCCAATCTCAGGAGGAATTTCACCGGTGAAATTGTTGTTAGCTAGACGAAGTCTTTCTAAATTCTTCAGCTTTCCCAAGTCTGCTGATATATTCCCTGATAACCAGTTTTGGTGAAGCTCTAATGCAGAAAGGTTCTGAAGATTAAATAACTCAACGGGAAGGCTTCCTGTTAACCGGTTATCGCCTAACATTAGCTTTGTCAGCGACTTGCAGGTTTTCAGATCGCGAGGGATGTTTCCTGATAACTTGTTTGAACCAAGACTCAGAAGTATCAGCTTCTGGAATCTGCAGAAGTGTGCAGGAATTGAACCAGAAAGATTATTGGCAGACATGTCAAGAACAGAGAAGTTGCTATAGAAACCGATAAGAGGAGGAATCGTCCCTTGAAGCCGGTTGTCAAAGAGTTGCAAATCTACAAGGTCAGTTAGGAACTGAAGCTCTCGAGGGATAATACCGGTTAGTCTATTGATAGACAAGTCTAGCTTCTGCAACATTGTCAATTCCCCAAGCTCCTTAGGAATTGGACCTCGGAGTTTATTCTCGAAAAGATGAAGCAATTGGAGATTTAGAATCTGACCAAACTCTCTTGGGATGAAACCTGTCAACTGATTCTCCGAAAAATCTATCTCAACTGCATTTGCCAAGTTGCCTATTTCACGAGGTATCTCTCCGGTTAACTGGTTTGTATAAAGATACAACCTTCTCGTCTTTGCCAACTTCCCAAGCTCTCTTGGTATCGATCCCGTGAAGTAGTTCTCGTGCAGCGCAAGCACCTCGAGACTGGTGATGTTTCCTACATAAGGAGGTATTTCGCCGGATAAACGGTTTTGCCAGAGTATCAAATCAGTGAGATTCCTAAGCATCTCGAGCTGCCTAGGAAGAGAACCCTCAAGAAGATTCTCTGCTAATCCGAGTACCTTTAGGCTCTCGCATCCGCTGATTTCAGACGGAATCACACCCGAGAACGCGTTCCGTCCTGCTCTAATGACCCTAAGCTGTCTCAATTTCCCAATGGAAGGAGGGATCATACCTGTGAGATTGTTGCTGTAGATCACAAGCTCTTGGAGCGAACTCAAGCTACCGATTACTCTAGGGATTGACCCGAAAAGATAATTCTCGCATAGATACAGTTTCTGAAGATTGTTGATCATGGTTAGCTGAATTGGTATCACTCCATGGAACCTATTTGTGCAGAGATCAAGAACCTCTAGGCTTCGACAGAGAGATAAATCTCGAGAGATTGGACCAGAGATGAAGTTGGTGGAGGCATTCAATGTCCTTAAACCACGAAGCTTGCATATGAGAGGAGATAGTGTACCTGATAGATTCATACCATTGAGATCAATAGAGGTTACAGTTCGAAGACGGGTACACGCGATTCCGGTCCAGTTGCAAGGATTCGAATCTGACTGATTCCAGTTTCCGAGATAGCCATTGGAGTCATTAAGCAAAGATTTAAACTCAAGAAGAACAGTTCCTTCTTCGTTTAATGATCTCACTAATATGAAGGAGAAAGAACAGAGAACCGCCAAGAAACATATCCTCTCTCTCATGATAAAACCCATTTTGCAAGTTAGTTTTGGTAAGAACAGAGAGTGATGGTACCTTAGCTTCTACACATTTGGGAAAATCTTGAAGAAATAGAAGAATGACGAAACTTCGATTTTTGGTGAGTCACGGAATTGTTTTGGTTAAAAGGGTTTGATGGGGACAAAAAAAAAAAAGACTTGACTTTGATTGATCAAAAGAAAAGAAGTAATCAGAGAAACACTTGGAAAGGTCTCTGTTTTTTTTTTTTTTTCTTCACAAACAAGTCAACTCTGTTTGTTTTTTGTTTTAATCTTCTTTGTCGACGAAAATCTTCTTCTCTTTGTCCGATTTCGTTCACAGTAATTTTCAGGTACAAGTGGATTCAAATCACGTGATGGTGATCTGGGTTTGTTGTACAGATCCATTGAATTCCTTTTTAGTGTTTCTCTGGGTTGTCAAATAGAAGAAGAAAAAAACAGAGGATCTTTTGATTGTTGGGACGGTGAGGATTTGATAAAGACGACACGTGAACAAGGATGTTTCAGGACAATGAAGTGTATTGTTTTGCTTTTTGATTTATTTGGTGTTGGGTGTGAGAGAGCGTTGGAGTCTGTGAACTCATGATTTTTTCGTTGACCGTTAAAAAAAAGCACACAAGTGGAAGTGATTGCTGTCTTTTTCGCGCCCATATTGTCTGTTAAATTGCCACTAAAACAATGTTCTATTACACTTTTACCCTTCTCTCCGTATGTCTTCTTTTATATATTCAATAAATAAATAACATTTTATCATGTTTATAATATTGACATATTGTATTTTGAATAACAGAAAACTAAAGAAAATTGTTAACAAAATGTAATATAAACCAAAAAGTTGAGCCGATTCAACAAAAAGATCAAATCATATTGAAAAAATGGCGTTCAAAAAAATTTAAGATCTAAAAATGTAATTTAAAATTCATTACTATACTGCTATTTTTCAATATGATATGATCTTTTTTGTTGAATTGATTTAAATATGATTCAACTTTTTGCTTACACTTAAAAAATAGTGCAACTTTTTGATTCAACTAATATTATTAGTCCATTACTAGACTAGCTTACATATAAAAATAATATCTTAGCCCACAAATAACCAAAAAAAAACCAGTGTAAATTTTAAGATCATAAATAACAAACTGGTAATA